AAATCCTAAGGGATCCTAAATCTGTCTTTAGCCGAGCCCGGTGCATAAGACAAGTGTGGAACTCGGAATGGGGACAGCAGGGTCACAGTGTTTGGAGCATTCACTGTCTGTCCCCCTGGTGTTTCCCACTGAAATCGTTCCCTTGAGTACTGGAGGTGCTAGCTCAGTTAGCAAAGTACTTGGATCTAAGTTGATTCCTTGAATCCACACGAAACACATACATACCACCACCACCACCACCACCACCACCAACACCAACAACAACAACAGCAACAACAACAACGACAACAGCAAGACAAAACAGATGTTGTGGTTCCTGCTTGTAATCCATGCAGCAGAAGTGCAGAACATCCCTAGGGGTTTCTGGTGTTTGTAATGAGCTCAGGACCAAAGAGAGACCCTGTCTCAAAAAACATAAGGTAGGGGTCAAGGACTGGAGAGATGGCTCAGCAGTTACCAGAGGACCCAAATTTGGTGGTTCCCTGGTGGGGTGACTCACAGCCATCTGTAGTTCCAGGGGACCTGACACATCTTCTGGCTTCTTCCAGCACGTTTCTCTCTGTCTCTGTCTCTGTCTCTGTCTCTCTCTCTTACACAGCCACTCATACAAGTTTTTAAAGGCAGAACAACAACAAAGATCAAACACAGAAAACACAAGGCAGAAGTCCGGCATAATGGCCATATCATTAATCCCAGCACTTGGGAGACAGTGGGAGAGGCAGCAGATCTCTGAGTTTTAGGCCTTGGAAAGGGGGGTAGGGCCCTGTTTCCCCCACCCTTTACAACTAGCTGAGTTTGACTGATCAGAGCAAGAAGTTAGAAGGGAGAAGGGTTGGAGTCCCATCCCCAAACTCCCTTCCCTGCCAGCCTTTTGTTCCTTCAGTGTCTGGCTTTGACCACAGCCCGGCGAGTGACAGGTCATGCTTCTTCCCAGACTCAAGTCCTGGCTGGTTTCAGGACAACCTCCTCCCCTCCCTTGTCTCTTTGGGTCAAAAGATAGAAACAGGAGCCTGGATAAATGGCTCAGTGGTTTGGACCACCTGTTGTTCATGCAGAGAATCTGGGTTCAATACTAAGCACCCACATGGCAGCTCTCAACCATCTGTAACTAATTCCGTGGGATCCAATGCCCTCTTCTGGCCTCTGTGGGGACACTAGAAATAGCTTTCACTATTCCCTGGTTCACGTGTGTGTGTGTGTGTGTGTGTGTGTGTGTGTGTGTGTGTGTACGTGGGTGGAGAGCAGAGGACAGTCTCAGTTGTCATTCCTCAGGCACCATCCACATTTTGAGACAGGGCCTTTATTGACCTGGGACTCACTAAGGGACGGGGCTGGCTGGCAAACTACCCTGATCCACCCGCCTCTGCATCCTCGCGGCTGGAATGACAGGTGCCTTCCACCACACCTGGGTTTTTACGTGGGTTCAAGGGATTGAACTCTGATTCTCATGCTTGCAAGGCAAGACTACTACCAACTGAGGCCTTGCCCCGACCCCAGTTTCTTTCCTTCTATAACTTGGACAGATACTTTCCAACACATGGTGCCCAGACACACCCATGCATTCTTTCCCACCAGAGTGTAATTTACGGGCCATCTCCTTCTTATACAAATATAGTCTCAAGTTAATCCTCCCATCACTCCGGTGCTCTGAAACCTCTCTACTGACATTCCTGCCCCATCACTGCCCCTCTTCCCACATTCCCTTGGCACAAGCTTACCCGCAAGACTCTCTAAGAGGTAGAAGTTTCTCCTCTTCTAGTCTAGACCCTCGTCAGCTGTCCTGCCTAATTTTATACCAACCTGGCACAGTCTAGAGTCATCTGGAAGGAGGGAATCTCAACTGGGAAAACGCCCCCATAAGATCCAAGTGTAGGGCATTACTTAATTAGCGATTGATGAGGGAGGACCAAGCTCACCATGGGTGTTTCCATCCCCTGGGTTACTGGTCCTGATTTCTATTAGAAAGCAGGCTGAGCAAGCAATGTGGAGCAAGCCAGTGAGCATCATTCCTCCATGGCCTCTGCATCAGCGCCTGCCTCCAGGTTCCTGTCTTGGCTTCCTTCAATGATGGATCATGGTATGGAAGTGTAGGCCAAATAAACCCATTCCTCTCCAACTTGTTTTTGGACTTGGTGCTTGATCACAGCCGTAGAAACCCTGACTAAAACATTGACCTACTGGTGACATTTCTCCCTCAGTCCTTTCATCTAGGCTAGGTAACTGGGTGCCCTCAAGGCCAGTGTGGCACAGCAAAAGCCCTCAGTGGCTCCCTGGTGCTGGTAAATGCTCACTCCCTCTTTTATACCTCTAATGAATATGAAATTTTACCCTAATTTTCTAACTTAAAAGAGATCGTTGGCAGTTTCAAATTACTCCTCTTTCAGTGAGGGCACAGTAGCTAAAGCAATTGCTGATCAAGTGTGCGCATCACCAGACTTGGGATCCTATGCTAGGTGGGTGTGGTGGTCTGCCCGCATAGCCAGAGCAAACTGCCTACTGCAAATAGCCGTAGTGTCTCAGGTAGGGTCTCAATTGCTGTGAAGAGACACCATGACCACAGCAGCTCTTACAAAGGAAAACATTTTATTTATTTATTTATTTAATGTTTTTTGAGACAGGGTATCTCTGTACCTTTGGAGACTGTCCTGGATCTAGCTCTTGTAGACCAGGCTGGCTTTGAACTCACACAGATCCACCTGCCTCTGCCTCACAAGTGCTGAGATTAAAGGCATGCACCACCACCACCTGGTAAGAAAAACATTTTAATTGGGGTGGGTCACTTACAGTTCAGAGGTTTAGTTCATTATCGTCATGTCAGGAAGCAGGGCAGCCTGCAGGCAGACATGGTGCTGGAGAAGGAGCTGAGAGTTCTTATGTCTTGACTCAAAGGCACCAGGAAGTGGTCTGAGACACTGGGCCGTCTCTTGAGCATATAGGAGACCTCAAAAGCCCACCTCCACAGTGACACACTTTCCCCAATTAGACCACACCTACTCCAACAAGGCCCCACCTCCTAATAGTGCCACCACCACACATAGCCATAAGCTCTGGGTTTCAGGAGACCCTACCTTGATGGATAAGATGCAAGATCGCGAAGAGAATGATTACTGACATCAGCTTCAGGTCTCCATGTGCATGGGTGCACTCATGCACACACACATACCCATGACCACTTTGGGAAGCTGGGGAATCCGTGGGTTGTGGACCTCAGATCTCCATGTGCACGGGTGCTCACACACACACACTGTCACATACACACAGCCACATACCTGCAAACAGAACTTCTTTTCACTGTGGGAGGCTGGGGTTCTGTGGGTCATGGGCATGCAGGTATGTATGCCTGTAATCTTAGCATTTAAAAGGCTGAGGCAGGATTGCTGGGAGTTCAAGGCCAGCCTAGACTTCTTAGTGAAATTCTGTTTTTGTTTGTTTGTTTGTTTAAGAATCCCACTGGGGGGCTGGAGAAATGGCTCAGTGGTTAAGAGCATTGCCTGCTCTTCCAAAGGTCCTGAGTTCAATTCCCGGCAACCACATGGTGGCTTACAACCACCTGTAATGAGGTCTGGTGCCCTCTTCTGGCCTGCAGACATACACACAGACAGAATATTATATACATAATAAAGAAAGAAAAAAAGAAAGAAAGAACAGCAGTTTTAAAAAAAGAATCCCACTGGTGAGATAGTTCAGTGGGTATATTGCTACTAAGCCTGACCACCCTAGTCAGATCCCTGGGTCCCACGTGGTAGAACACAGATTCCTGTTTGCTTTCTGACCTCCACAGGTGCGCTGCAGCACGAGCACACCCACACACATGCACGCATACATACAAATGCATGCAATTAGCAAAAAAGGCAAGCATAGTGCCTATGCCTATAATCCTAACACTTGGGAAGAAGAGGCAAGAGGATCAGGGATTCAAGGGACTCAGTTACATAATGAGTTTGATGCTGTCTTTAGTTAATTAAAGCATTGCTCAGTACGACGAGTGAGACCCGTTCTAGTGTGTGGAGACAGATGGATAGCATCACCAAACTGTTTAATACTTAACGGTGCCATTCGTTTTGTTAGAGGAGAACGTGCAACTTTTGTTTTTGTTTTTTTGCTGAGTAGCACATGTGGGTGCCCTTGGCTGAAATCAGCGCAGGATGAGAGGGGTAGATCTGTGGGGCTTTCTATCAACAGGTAAAGTGGGGATGAAGTCTGGAAAACTCTGGAGAGGTCACAGTCCAGTACTTGGAGACCGGGGTCTACATTCCTCTGGAATGGGCAGACATTGGATGTGCCGGAAGGAGGACCACACTGACGTGGAGTTTCCCCACGTGCCCAGTGAGAGCTGTGCTGCCAAGCTTCCCATGATCGATCTGCCGGCCCATGCCCTCGGAAACTCATTTGAACAACGCGAGGTGGCGCCGGCTGGACCTCTGCTCTTATAGCTCAAATACACCCAGCTGTCTAGGGCCCGGGAGGCGGTGCTTCGAAGTAGGGTGGAGTCTGCGAGGGCTGGTCCGGGGAAGCCAGGTCCCGCCCCATAAAGATGACGGACAAGCCTTCAAACCAGTCATGATGCTTTTTTGGTGCTGAAGGGGATGAGAAGGCGGAGCGACGGATGTAGGGTGGATCTAGCGAGGAAAGGTTCGGGCTTGCCAGGTCCAGCCCCCTGTAATGACAGACAATTCTGCAGACCAATCACAGTGTATCTACAGCTTTAGGGGGCCAGGGAGGTGATGCACCAGGTAGGGGCGGAGCCTTGGAGGGCAGGTTGGGACAACCGCCCACCAGGTCCCGCCCACTAATGATGATGGACAAACCTTTAAACCAGTCATAACATGCTGACCGCCCTAGGGCGGGCCAGCCGGACAAAGTGAGCGGAGCACCTCCCAAGTGGGAGGAGGCGTGTGGGGGAAAGCCTCTTGGAGAGATGGGGTGGGTCCTGAGGGAAATGGACAGCTCTATCAGCCAATGGAAAACGAAAGCTGTCCCCGTTAGCGCCGGATCCCCGCGGGTAGGGCGGGGCGGGAGGCGCCGCGGGGATCCCGGGGCTGCCGAGGGCCCCTGACTCTGTTCACCCTGGGAACATGGACCGAATGGCCAGCTCCATGAAGCAGGTACCGAACCCGCTGCCCAAAGTATTGAGCCGGCGTGGGATTGGTGCTGGGATGGAGGCTGCGGAGCGCGAGAGCTTCGAGCGGACTCAGGTGAGGAGCGAAAAACCTGGGGCATACCTGGGGCACCCGGAGTGGTGCAGGATGCTGGAGAGGCTTAGAAGGGAGTAAGGGTCTTGCAGGCCCGGGAGGGGATTAGGTAAGGTGGCCGCAACTAGAATCATCTTGGAGTGCAGAACTAGGCGGGTCCCAGGGAGGTCAGGGACCTGGGGCATCCCTACTGGCCCGAGGACCAGGGTGCACTCCGAGGATCTGCAGATTCCTAAGGCTGAGCGGACGGGACCTGGTGAGCATCATCAGGGGATCACAAGGAAGGCCAAAGGGAGACGGGTGGAAAGGGGACTGATGGAAGGAGTGCCCCTGGGTAAGGGACTTGGCAGACACTTGGGATTTGCAACTGTGGGGACGCGGGTCTGGGGGTGTGAAAGGTATTTTGATCGCTTCATGTTCCTATGGACTTCTCCCTCCACTACTCAATATGCCGTTCAACGGTGCCTCAAACTTGGCTCTGAGCAGCCCCAGCTGTTGGCCTCAGAGGCCGGGCCGAAGGGGTCTGATGAGAAGGAATGTAGGAAATGCGGAGTGTGGCTCAACTTGGAAAATGACCCAGGGTACTGGAGGAATGGGGGCGTACAGTCTGGGACGAGAACTGAGGCGCTTGAACTGTTCAGACCCTCGCGTGTCAAGGATAAGCTGTCCAGTGAGACCCAGAATCCTGATTTGAGGTTTTGTTTTCGCCCTCCAAAATATGCCTGACTGCTAATAAGCAGACTGCCTTATTTGTCTGGTTTGACCAGGGCAGATGGCCAAAATTCCACCGTGGTTATCAACAAAACCACTAGACGCTTTTACCTCGAGCTTTTATGCTTGCTGTATTGATTGGACTGAATCAAGCTGGGAGGCGCGAGGTGTAGCCATCGGTTCATCTGTATGTAAAATCCATTTCTGAGAATACAACCCTTAGGATCCCGCTGCGGAAGTTGTGCGGGTAGACAGATCCCTGTTCTTCTCTGGCTTTCGGAGTTCTACTTTAAAGGTCCCATTGACTTCTGCCAAAGGCTGGTCCCCCGTCGTGTTCTGCTACTAGGAAAGATCGAAGAGATTGGGAGGGCCCGTGTGTGCTATAAATGGATTGTGCAAGAAAGCAAGCCAGTTTAGCCCAGGGGACTTCAATCCACCTCTTGTTTCTGAGACCCTTGGATCCACTACGTGTGTCTGAAGGAAGGAAAGTAGGGTAGTTGAGGGGAAAGAGAAGCCGCCATTCACTTGCACCTCAGGGTTCAATGGGGTTTGGAGTTTTTCCCTCAGATCTTCTGAACTGACCCCTTTAAAAAAAAAAAAAAAGGAAAGAAAATTTGCTTTTAGCCTTGGGTGTTCCTGAAAAAAAAAAAAGTTTTAGTATTTTCTCCCCCACCTCCTTTTTTTTTTAATGAAAGAAGAAAAGAAACTGGAGCTATTTTACACCATCCGCTCCTTTGGCAACCTCAGATAGCTCAAAACTGGAGCAATAAGTAGACGTAGGGTTTGAGTTTAGGACTTGGGGAGCTGGCTCGGGGGTAAAGGCTCCTCCTACTAGTCTGGCCTGAGTTTCATCCCAGGAAGAGAACTAACCTGACCTCCACACTCATAGTGTGCCATGAACATCCCCTGCACACACACACACACACATACATCAAAAATTCATTCAAATTCTTCAAAAAAAAGTTTGAACTTAACGTGATAGAAATGTCGGCCTTTGAGTGTTTCCAGCCACGACTAACATTTTCCCTAGCTCTCCAGGGAACACTCAACCAGGGGAGTGGTAGGCCAGTGTCTCATTTTGCCTTCTGTAGAACACTTGTAGTTAGCCAGATTTTATATGTGTTTGTGTGTGCCCATGGTGGGTCACGTGAGTGTGTGTGTGTTGAGGCAGACTAGAGCAAGAGTTGTTGAAACTTTTTTTTTTTATTTTTGAATCAGGATCTTACTATGTAGCTCAAGCTGGCCTAGAACTCACTACGTGCTAGGTAGACCAGGCTGGCCTTGAACTTTCATCAGTCTCCCTGCCTTTGCTTCTCTAGTGCTGGGATTAGAGGAGTGAGCTGCTGCAATCCAACTCAGTTGTTGAAACTCTTCTGAGCTGGCAGACAGGGTGAGACACTCAGGAGGCAGAAGCAAGAGGATCCTTGCAAGACTGAACCAGTGTGGTCTAAATAGCAGCTCCCAGGCTAACTGTGGCTATATATAGTGAGACCCTATCTCAAAAAGAATTTCAATAATGCAAAACCAAAAACATTGATTGGTATCTTAAGAGACCAAAGACCAAGAGAATCGGCAAAGGTATTATAATAATAATTGTAGCTGATTATTATGTTTGGAGGGCCTCTAAATACAGTACTTTATTTGCTATCTTTAAACTTCACAAGGGCTGCTGGCGTGGTTATCAGCCCCATTTGCTCAGAGGAAATTGAAGCCTGCTGAGGTTAATTAACTTGCTGGGTACCGCAGGTGGAAGTGGTCCCAACCTTTAACCACTGCCTTGCGCTCTGCTCTCTCTCAGTCCTGGGCAGATCCGGAAGACCTCTGAGTTCGGTTCATTTCTTTGTGTTTTGAGACAGGGTTCAGCTGGTCTCAGACTAGCGATGAAGACATGAGTGATCTTGAATTCCTGATCTTCCTGCCTCCACCTCCGAGTGCTGGGGTTGCAGAAGCGCCCCGGCATGGTTGGTTTTATGCAGTGCTGGGGCCGGAACCTAGAGCTTCAGGCATGCTAGGCAAGCCCTTTCTACAACTGAGCCACATCCCCAGCCCCTAGGAGCCGGTTCAGTTTTGTAGCCAAGCATAGGGTGCTTTGATTTGATGTATGGGACTGTGTGCCCTCAGGCAAGCAGTCTAGTTTTCCTAATCCTCAATTCCCTAACTGGAAAATGAAGATAATGCAGGGCTGGGGAGAGGGCTCAGTGAGTATGACGCTTGGTGTACAGGCATGAGGACCTGAGTTCAGATCCTCAGAACCCACATCCAAACACAGCGAAACAGGTGCAGTGCCTGTTTTAGCCAAATCAGTGAGATTCAAGTTCAGTGAACTGTCTCAAAAAAATAAGGTGGCAGGCAGTAGATGAAAGCACCCATTGTAGACCTCTGACCTCTACGTATGTGCACACACAGGAACATGCATCTGCACATGTGTGTATACAATACACATATACAAAATAAACATAAGCTTTAACCTTGCAGGTTTATGGTGTGGAATGTATTAAATAATAAGCCTGGAGGGATTTTGTAAATTATGGGGCACTGTCCCAGGGGCAGCCACTTCCAAGAAGTCTGTCCTCCGTAACTAATGCTGTACCCCATTGTCACCAGTTGTCCATTCAGCTCAGCACAAGTGTCGGTCAGAGGTTAGGGGAAAGAATAGTAGTTTATTTTTTGACCTTTTAAATTTTAACTTATTTTAAATTTTGCTTACAGAGTCAATTCTGTATTTACTAGGACTCAATGTGCAAGAGGGAGGAGGCGGGGGAAGGTGGCTCTGTGATATCTACACAAGTGTGAGGACCCGAGTTCGGATCCCCAGAACCCATGTAAAGCTGGGCATGCTAACACACATCCGTAATCCCAGTGCTCTTACAACAAGATGGAGATGGGGATAGCAGACTCCCTGGACACTCACAGGCCAAGTAGCTTGGAGTATGTCATGACAAACAGTGAGAAACTGTGTCTCAAGTACGCTGAAAATTGACAGCACCCGAGGTCATTTTTACTCCCTCCACATGTATAGCATGGCACACACACACACAAACACTTGTTGAACGCCAGGCTGGCCTCGAGTTTGTAGTTTTTCTACCTTAGCCTCCCAAGTAACTGGGTTAATGGGCTTCACACCCTGATACTCTTGTATTGTTTTTTCTTCTTTCCTTTCTTTCCTTTTGAGGTCGGGTCTTATATAGCCCAGGACAGCCTCACTGTGTACCCAAGGATGACCTTAGACTCCTGATCCTCCTGCCTCCACCTCCTGTGCTAGCCTTATAGGTGTGCTCTACTCCACTTGACTTTAGTATTATTTTTGTGAACGAGAGTGCAAAATATGTATAAGTATCATGAACTATGTAATTAAAATGTTTTGATTAAAATTATTTATGTGTGTGTGTGCACGCACGCATGCGCACAGGCATACAAACTCTCATGCTCTCCACACATGCACATGAGGAGGAGAGAGGAGGACATCAGGCGGTCTCTCACAGAACCCAGAGCCATGCTCCTGTCTCTGTCAACCACCTCCAGCACTGGGCTTACAGTGGGTGTGGCCATACCTCACGCTCTTTGAAACATGGGTGCTTTGGGATTTGAACTCGGGTCCTTCTGCTTGTGCAGGAAGTGTTCCTACCCACTGAGCTGTCTCCCCAGACCTATGCTTTTTCAAAGGAATTATTCTGCGTAGGATCCGAAAAGCGGTTCTTCCCTTCCCAGAAGCTACCGTGGCACTGAGGAGGATTCAGCTCCCTAGAAAACTACAAGCGCAAGGACATGGCTTGGTCCGTGGCCCTGAGAGGGGGGCAGAACTGCAGTCAGGATACCTAGTTTGGGGAGCACTTTCCAGTTTATAGCGAATGATAATGAATGACTTCAGCCTTCAGAGAACGTGTCAGCTTGTCTTGCTCAGCCCGTGCTGATGTGTGAATGAAAGACTGAGCCAGGACTTCAGGCTCCCTGGGTCAGGGTCAGGCCCAGCCCACCGCGATGCCCTCCACGCGGATGTTTCTGGAAGGAGTTGGGGGTTACCAATCAGATAAAGAAAATAGCTTTACCTCCTTTTTTATTTGTCTTTATTTATTCATTCTGTGTGTCTGTGTATGTGTAGGTGCAGGGGACACTGCCCGTGGAGGTCAGAGGACAACTTACAGGAGTTGGTTCTGGCCTTCCACCGTGGGTCCCGGGGCTCGAACTCAGGTTGTCAAGCTTGGCAACGGGTGCCCCCCCCCCCAGGTCTGGTTCATCAGACAGGGTCGTCCTATATAGATCTCTTTGAATACGTGATCCTCCAGCCTCAGCCACTGGAGGGATTAAAGCGTACCCACCCTGCTTGGCCCCTGCTTGAATTTATTGATCCCAAACAGGCTTTTCTGTGTGGGTTGTTTATTCTTTTACCATTACTTTGGGGAGCACATACCATGGCGTGGACACAGAGACAAGTAAGATCTAGACGAGCCCCCGAGGAGCCGTGAGTCAGCTGGGAGGCAGGGCTTTGTTGTGGTCAGAGCACCAAAGCGGCAGACCTTTAAGGGTGTTAAAACCAAAGGCAGGAAGGCTGAAGGTGTAGCTCAGTCATAGAGCGCTTGCTCAGAATAACCCAGTGAGGGGCTGGGGCGTGGCTCACGGTATCAGGAGGAACACGTCCATCTTGGCAGGGAAGGCGCAGGGAAGGCACGCAGCAGGAGCAGGAGGCAGCTGGTTACGTGGCATCCACAGTCAGGAAGCAGCGAGAGATGGATGCTGGTGCTCAGTTCGATTTCTCTTTTTTATTCAATGGGATGGTAACATGCATATTTAGGGTGGATCTGCCCACTCCCACCTAGACGCTCCCTTGTGACGGTAGACCCTCTCTGTTAACCATCGTTGCACCAGCCTTCTTGCTCTCCCCCCTCTTGCCTTAGACTGCTTGCCTAGCACAAAGCCCTGGATTCCATCCCCATCATCGCATAAACCAGGCTCATAAGTGTGTGTCTTTAATCCTAGCATTTGGGAAGTGAAGGGGGAAGTGAAGGCCGAAGGACCAGGAGTTCAAGGCCTGGGCTGGAGAGTGGCTCAGAGTGCATGCCGCTCTCGCCGAGGCTCCGAGTTCACTTTCCGGCACCCCCATCAGGCAGTTCCCAACCGCTGTAACTCTAGCTCCAGAGGACTGGACGATCTCTGAAGTCTTCCACGGGCACCATCACACACATGCACACACATAATCACCATTAGTAGAGCAGGCTGGATGGCTCAGTGGTGAAGTGTGCACGAAGAGGCTCACATCCCAGCAGTCGCATTGGGTGCTAGAGGCACCCGTAACTCCCAGTTTCAGGGAATCCAACACACTTTCTGGCTCCCGAAGGCACCTGCACGCACGTGGTGCACATCTATATGCGCAGAAATGAATCTTTAAAAGAAAAAATTCCAGGGGCTGGAGAGATGGCTCAGTGGTTAAGAGTGGCTGCTCTTCCAGAGGACCAGAGTTCAATTCCCAGCACCCACAGTCTGGCAGCTCACAACTGTCTGTAACTCCAGTTCCAGGGGATCCAACACCCTCACACAGACCATACATGTGAGCAAAACAGCAATGCACAAAAAATACAAATAAGTAAATTATAAAAAAATAAAATAAATTTAAAAAGCCAGGTGTGGTGATGCACACCTTTAATCCCATTACTGAGGAGACAAAGGCAGGTGGGTCTCTATGAAGCTGACATCAGCCTGGTCTACATATAAAGTTCCAGGCCAGCCGAGGCTACATAGTGAGACTCTGTCTCAAAAATTAAACTGAAAGTTTCAAGGTCATCCCCAGATTCTGTGTGGTCTGATAGCACCAGGGTATTTGGCCTTGCATAACTCAAACATATATCGGGCTTCCCTTGTGGTCTGGTTGTACACGGGTCATATATTCCGGGGAATCTGGGATGCTGTAGTGTGTTAGCACATTTATACAAGTACACATCTTGGCTTCCTGTGTCCATAGTTCCCTCTTGGACGTGGTTGTGAGTCTCATTGTCCATTGGGTGACCCTTGGTGCTGGGTGCCTGTTGGCCAGACGTAAACAAAGAGCCGGAGAAGCGAGAGGTGGTGGGCTATATTTGTATTCCCAGGTACTTAGGAAGTTGAAGCAGGAGGATTGAATGAAGCGAGGAGTTGAGGGCCAACATGGGCAACATTCTGAGACCTTACCTAAAAACAAAAATACAGAAACAAAACCAAGTATGATGTTCTCACTGCTGCGACCAAATACTTGATCAAAGCAACTGAAGGAAGAAAGAGATTGTTTGGGCTTACAGTTCAGAGGTAGAGTTCATCATGGTGGGAAGTCACGGCAGCAGGGGCATGAGGCGACCGGTCACACGGCACCCACCATCAAGAAGCAGAGAGAGATGGATGTTGGTGCTCAGCTCGCTTTCTCATTTTTTCTTCAGTCCGGGACCCCAGCCTAGGGAATACTGTTGCCCACATTCAGGCTGGTCTCTCCCTGGACACACTCATAGAGGGGCTGGAGGGATGGCTCAGTGGTTAGGAACACTGACTGCTCTTCCAGAGGACCCGGTGTAGTTCCCAGCACCCACGTGGCAGCTCACAGCTGTCTGTAACTCCAGTTCTAGGGGAATCTGATCCCTTCAAGCACATGAAATAAGATTAGATAAATAAATACATAAAACCCACTCACATAGACACGCCCACAGGCATGTCTCCTGGCTTGTTTTAAAACCTCAAGCTCTACTGATTGAGCCACTTTGCCTAGATGGTTATGGTGACAGAGATTGTAAAGAGGGACCGCAGTTTGGTCACTAGCACACACAGCCTTCTATGACTCCAGCTCCAGGGATCTAATGACCTCTCCTGATGTCCTCGGACATTGTACTTACATCACACATACAGAGATGCACAAACATATACTTAATAAAAGTCTCATATCTCGCACACAGATGCCCACAAATATACACATACTAAAATTCAAAATCTTAAAAAAAGATTCACCGTTAGACCCGGTGTCATTGCGTAAACTTACGATCCCAGCTGCTCAGGAGACTGAATTTTGGAATCAAGAGATACAGACATATATGGTGCTGATCTTTTTCATACAGTGTGTGTGTGTGTGTGTGTGTGTGTGTGTGTGAGAGAGAGAGAGAGAGAGAGAGAGAGAGAGAGAAAGAGAGAGTACGTGCACGCTTGCATGGAGGTCAGAGGACAGCTTATGGGAATCAGTTCTTTCCTCCCACCACAGGGGTCCTGAGGGCTGAACTCAGGTTGTAAGGTCCATTTACCCGATGAGCCATCTTGCTGGCCCTTCATACTGATGTATTTCTAGCAATCTTTAAATTACTCTGTTGGATGCTTCTCTGTCTGGGGAATAGGGACCAGCGATTAGAGGCATGGGGCTCTCAGAACCTTGAGATTGCACTTTAGGAAACAACGGGAACATTTTGCAGATTCCCTGGTCCTCTTAGATACCCGCACAGGTTCCTTACTTGGCCCGTCTTCAAGGCAATGAGTGATCAGGGCTGCATTGTGTACCTGGGTGCAGTGTGGAGGAGATGCGGGTGTGGCAAAGCCAGCCCGGTGCAGTGGGCCGATGGCCAGTTCGTCTGCCGCTGCTTCCAGACGCTCTGCCGGCCTGGACTATTGCCCACCTAGCAAAGGGAATTCGTCAGTCCCACCTCCCGACAGGGTGGAGGCTGCTTCCTGTTTTCCTGCCCGGGAGGCAGGGAGGAACCCTGTTCCGAGTGCTGGGCCGTGCTGTCTGATACTGGTGCCGGGAGGCACCCGTGGTTCAGACGGCGGTGGGAGAGAGAAGCTTGTAGTTCTTGGATGAACTCACAACCGCTACCACAGTTAATGCAATGGTGAGACAGTTCAGGAAGCCAGTGTGCTCCATTCAGGATGTCAGCACCGCCTATGATCCAGTGACGGCTCATTGCATCCCAGGCCGCTTTTACGTAGACCCTCTTTTGGCGCCTCCAAACCCACTAAAGGTGCCTCGCATCATCCACGGTTGTGGTTGTGGCCATTTTCCCAGTACAGACACTGAGACTCAGAGAGGTTAAGTGATTTCCCTGAGCGTGCACAGGAAAGCTTCGAGCATGGCACAGGTCTGATCACAGATGTCTGAGACGACATCTTACACTGCCCAGGTTGGCCTCCAACTCTCCGCGTAGCTAAAAACGACCTTTGATATCCTCCTGCCTGCACCTCCTCAAGTGTGGGGATTAGTGGGATCAACACCATACCTGTTTTTACTTTTTTCAAAATAATTAATTTACACGTTTGAATATGTACATGTGTGTTCCTACCTCCTAACATAGGTTTCAGGATCTAACTCAGGCCATTAGGTGTGACAGCAGTCGCCTTTCACTAAGCCATCTCCCTGCCCCCACTCCTAACCCCTTTTAAAATCTCCTTTTAAAGCTGAAGTCTTGTCTGTGGTTAGTAACAACAACAACAACAAAGATGCACAGATTTGATTTTCCCAATATTTTCCAACGGACATACTTGGATGTCTTAAATTCCTTCCAGGAATAAAAAAAGGCACACATGCACCCTCCTAGGATATAAGTTCATCTAGAGACCATGGTGTTAACGGTCAGTTTGACAGCCTCTAGACGCACCTAGGAGAGGGGCCTCTGGGCGTGACTGTGAGAGAGGAGAGAGAGTGTCTAGATTATGGGCAGCCCCTGAGGAGGATTTGATTGCATCAGTGGATGTGGGAAGATGCGTGGTAACTATGGGCAGAACCGTTCCCTCGGTGGGGGAATCTGGCCGTGTAAAATGGAGATGGTGAACTGAACGCCAGCATTTGTACGTTAGCTCGCTGCCCTCTGCCCTCCACCTCCACCGTGCCTTCCCTCCCCAGTGGAGCTGAGGGCCACATAAGCTTTCTTCCCTCAGGAAGTGCTTTATCCACGTGGTGTGCACAGGATTTCCAGCCACTCCGGAGGTGGAGGCAGGAAGATGGCTGTTCAGACCCCTGCGCTCAAGGCCAACAGGGACATCGTCGTGAGGAGGGAAGGGGGCAGAGAGACACTGGATGTGCCAGTGTTAGAGAGGCTAAGACAGGGTAGCTTGAGACCAGGAGTCACAGACCAGCGGGAGCAACACAGCAGGGTTGTCACATTAATTAAAAAAAAAAAGTCAAACACAAGTTAATATATTTTTATTATTTTATTGTTTTGAGACAGGCATTGCCTCAAACTTGTAATCCTTCCTCTGCCTCCTAATGACTGGGGTTCCAGGCAAAATAAAATCCACTGCTCAGGTGACCAACCCACAGAAAATCAGGAAGTGATCACAGCTGAGGGACAGCCGCCCTGTGGGGCAGGTGAGTGAGGGGGAACTGGAGCCAGCGGCCTGTGGTGACCGGAGTTTAGTGTTCCATGGAGTCTTCTGTTTCTGTGCCGTCTGTATTTCTTTCTTTGTTTTGAGATGCAGACTGCTCTTGAGCTCTTTTTATCTTTTAGTGTGTGGTGTGTGTGTGTGTGTGTGTGTGTGTGTGTGTGTGTGTGTGCATGTGTGCACGTGTGCAAGTACAGGTTCCTAACTTGTCCAGAAGAGGGTACTGGATCGCCCAGAGCTGCAGTTACAGGCACTTGTGAGAGAAGCAAAGTGGGTGCTGGGAACTGAACTCAGGTCCTCTGAAAGAGCATTTTCTGCCCTTAACCACTGAGCCATCTCTCCAGCCCCATCTCTTTTTTGTCCATGTCTGCCCATGCTCCTGTGTATGTGAGCATGATGCTTATAAAAGTTGGACAGCAGCCTTGGGCGTTCTTCCTCAGGCACCATCCACCTTGTTGAGATTACATTTAGTGTGTGTGTGTGTGTGTGTGTGTGTGTGTGTGTGTGTGCACCACGTGCCATGGCAAGCATGAAGAAGCAGAGGAAAACGTATGGGAGTTTGTTCTCTTTCGCCAGATAGGTCCCAGGGATTGGTCATCAGGCTTGGCAACAAGCACCTTTGCCTACTGAGCCACCTTGCCTGCCCCTCCCCACCTTGCTTTTGGAGACAGGGTCTCTGACTAGGCCAGTAAGCCCCCATGAGAGCCCCTCTGCCTGTCTCTGCCTCCCCAGCGCTGGGATTACAAGCGTATGCCACTGCTCTTGGCCCTCTGTAACATGGACTCAAGGGCTGAATTTGAGTCCTCATGTTTGCAAGACAAGCACTTTACTCGTAGAGCTACCTTCCTAGCCCTGCCCTTGAATTCTCTGTTAGCCCAGGCTACCCTCAGACACGTTGTGTCCCCTGGAACATAGGTCCTTCTTCAGCTGACTCTGACGTGCTGGAATTAAAGGTGTGTGTACCGCCACACACAGCTGTGTTTATGTTATTTTTTTCAATGTGCAAAAGATTAAAAAAAGACAACTGAAAAAGAGAGTTCTTCAGGGAGCAGGCAGCTGTGTGCAGGGACTTGCCTTTTGTCTGTCCACACCTGCTCTACGTTCTGTCTCAAACCCAGCCTCCCCAAAGGCAGTTCTCAAAGACGGCCGTCCGGGAACAGAGAGCTGGTGACCTATGAGTCATCTACCTGTCTGCCGCTTCTACAGCTTCCCGGTACTGCAGTAGCTGGTAGCCAGGAAGTGGAGCCCCTCATTAACCCACACCTTGCACGTGGTCCTGGGCTTCTGTTCATTTGTGTCGTCTGTCTGCCTCCTATCAACATCAAGACGCTAGATGTTTCTCCTTTATCTTTTCAGTGTGGTGGCCCTGAGCTCTTAGCAGAGGGCTTTCACCACTTCGGCGACAGCATCAGGGAAGCATGAAACAATCGGGTAGCAGCATTTTCCAAAGGAGACAAGGAGAACACAGAAGTGTCTAGAGCAGTGGTTCTCAACCTTCCCCATGCCATGACCCTTTAATATAGTTCCCCATGTTGTGGTGACCCCCCCAATCATAAAATTATTTTCATTGCTACTTCATAACTGTAATGTTGCTACTGTAACATAAATATCTTTGCTTTCCAATGATCTTAGTAGATGCCAGGGGAAGGGTCATAGGACCCCAGGGGTTGTGAGCACCAGGTTGATAACCGCTGATCTAAAGACTTGGGGGTGGATTCATTCAGCATGGATCTCAGGCATGGCTCATGTTCCAAAGAGGAGCATAGGTTGCAAAGGACAGAGCTGTGGATGAGCCATGGATGAGCTGCTGGGAGCATCAGGGAGATGTCACCCAGGAATGTGCACACAGAATGACCTTGTTATGGGGTGCTTTGAGTTTCTGGCTGGGCACCTTCCAGACAAACCCATCATGGATCTTTCTTTCTCTTTTATTATTGCATTTATTTACGTTTTGTGTTTAGTTTTTAAGTGTGTGTGGGTGTGTGTACGTGCACATGCATGCATGCATCCATGTACATATCACTGCAGGTGCCCAAGGAGTCCAGAAGAAGGCAGATTTCCTGGCTAGAACTGGGGTTACAGGCAGTTTGTGAGTCACTAGATGTGGGAGACCATACTGGTCCCCTGTAAAAGCAGTACACACTCTGGTTTTCCGAGACAGGGTTTCTCTGCATAGCCCTGGCTGTCCTGGAACTCATTCTGTAGACCAGGCTGGCCTAGAACTCAGAGATCAGCCTGCCTCTGCCTCCCAGGTGCTGGGAATATAGACATGGCCGCCACCACTTTCTTAATGGTGAGAGAGCCATGGTGCACGTGTAGCCTTCAGGAGACAAGCTTTAGGAGTCAGCTCTCGCTTTTCACCCTGCGGGCCCAATGGACCAAGCTTAGTTCATCAGGCTTGGCAGCACCCTTACCCACTGAGCTATCTTGCCAGCACGCACAGTGTACATTTCTTAGGTGCGCTGGCTTGGGCGTGAGCCGTGGCCCAGCTTCACAGTCCGTCTTTCTGAAATTTTGTGCCATATTCATCTGGTATTCTCTGGGTGTGTCATAACTGAGGCCATATTCCTTTTTTTCTATTGACTTTATTTGTTATTGCGCATATGGGGGGGTATGGCCACGTATATGCCACGGTACACGCGGCGGTCTGAGGGGCTATTTTTAGGAACTGGTTCTCTCCTTCCACTGTGGGTCCGGAGGGTTGACTCAGCTTGTCAGGTTTTCAGTGAGCACTTTTAACCACTTTCACCAACCGAGTCACCCTGCCGGCCCTGGGGCTGTATTCTTTTTGTCCCTCACCTGGTACCCAATGATGTGTGCATACCAACCAAGTGTTCTACTCTGAGCCATTCTCACTTTCTCAAAACCAAAAGTAAAAAGAGCCCTGGGGGTGTGGCTTGTTGGTAGAGCCCTAGCCCAGAATCTCCCAGTGATGGGCTGAGGTCCTGACTTAGTGGCAGAGGCCTTGCCTTAAATTACCTGGTGAGGAGCTTGGTGTAGAGCACCTGCCTAGAACCCCCCAGTGAGGGGCTGGGATGTGGCTCAGTGGTAGAGCACCTGCCTAGAATCCCCCAGTGAGGGGCTGGGTGTGGCTCAGTGGTAGAGTACCTGCCTAGAATCCCCCAGTGAGGAGCTGGGGTGTGGCTCAGAGGCAGAGCCCCTGCCTAGAATTCCCCAGTGAGGGGCTGGGGTGTGGCTCAGTGGTAGAGCCCCTGCCTAGAATCCCCCAGTGAGGATTACAACTGCCCAGCCACGTTTATTTGTTTACCCATAGATTAGTATAAAGACTGTAAAAAG